CTCTCTCTCTCTCTCTCTCTCTCTCTCTCTCTCTCTCTCCCAAAATAACTGAGTTGGTACCCTTTAAAGCATTCGTGGGGGGCTACCCTGGTTCAAAAACTGGAATGGGATTTCTTAAATTAAACATTTAAACACGAGTAGCTTCAGATTGTTTCAATTTTAATTTTGGTGACTATGGCTTCTCCAGTCATCGACACACAAAAGTACAGAGCTTAACTTTAAGACATGCCCAACAATTTATTAAACTCGGGCAATTATCGAATTATGGCTTATGTTCCGTAACCTTTGAAGTGAGCTTCAAAGAAAATGTGAACATGCTGAGTGAGCTGTTCTCGAGGAGCAGAGATTCTGATGTGAGCACGATGATGAAGTGGTGCTGAGATCGAGAGTGGTGGTCTATGCGACTGTCTGTACGTCCCTCACAGATCTACGTTTTGTGCGCATGCTCCGACAATGTCAGTTTGTAACGAAAGACGACATTTTTTTAAAATTGTAATTTTTTAAACAATTCTTCATTCCAATGTTTGGTTACTATTTGCTTCCTTTTCACTGTCTGTCTGTCTGTCTGTCTGTCTGTCTGTCTGTCTGTCTGTCTGTCTGTCTGTCTGTCTGTCTGTCTGTCTGTCTGTCTGTCGTTGTTGTTGTTGTTGTTGTTGTTGTTGTTGTTGTTGTTGTTGTTGTTGTTGATTTGAGGTTTTTTGCTCTTTGTGGGAGTTCACAATCTCTGGAAAATACATCCTTTTTAAACTGTTCAAGGATAACACAAGTCTACTTTTTCTCATATAAAATTGTACACATATGCATTTATATTATATATATAATACGTTGTTTTACGTACACATTTGACGGTTAATTTTTAAGATGTGATGTCTTTTTCGTGGTAATGCGCATTGAGCATCTTTTAGAAAATGGAAATGCGCAGTATAAATGCTATTTATTATTATTATTATTATTATTATTATTATTATTATTTCTGTAGGCCTTGACTTGTCAGTTAGGAAGATGAGCTTCATAGGA